AACCTATACGATTAAAACAATCCGAAGAAAAAAATAAAATAAAAGCATAATAAAAAAAATGTGCACATTATTACACAGACGTCGCATTTTGCACGTTGGGTCACAATACAAAGCTCATAATTCAAACTGGCATTCTCAAATTGAAGAATGAATCGTTAGCCACAAAGCTAACTAGCATCAATGAAAAACGTCAGCTTATGAATTCATTGAAAACAAAAATAATCGAAGAAACATGTACTTTATGCTATATTGTCCCCAGGCTTTTATGTCAAAACACCAAGAATAAAGTAAAATGGACAGATGACAAAGGATTTGAAGGTAAAACAGGCATGTACACACTCACCATCATGATTGCGGAATAGAGGAGGACGGTGCCGGGTGAGGTACCCACAATGCACCTAGAACTCTCTAGAACATGCGACGAGACAACTAATGATGGGCAACAGATGGCGCCATTGCTACAAGTTTCATGTTAGATTTTATTTATTATTATTATTATTATTATTATTATTATTTTTATTATTATTATTATTATTATTATTATTATTATTATTATTATTATTATTTATTACATCTGCCTAGCCACAACATGTAAAATGGACCCTACATTCTGTAAATAAATTAGTTATTTAGATTAAAAAAAATATACACTCCTTAGAGATCATAAAGAAAGGAGATTAATGAGAAGTGATCTATGGTATAAATCAGGGATGCCCAAACTTTTCAATATAAAAGCCAAATATCATTGAGAGCCGTGGGCCGAAGGTAAATATACCATGCTACTGTACATTAAAGTTGCCATGGGTAATTTAGTAATCTAGTTTATTTCATAAGACTTGAAAGTAAATCAAAAACATTACTTTAAATAATATTAATTAATGCAGTATAACATAAAAAATAACTTATTGCAATTAAAAACATAAACAATCACACTACACTAATCAAGCAGAATCTGCCTCTGCCTTGATTTGTCCTCTATCCGTTGGGTGAGAGTATGAACATTTAAACTAAATCTGATTAATTTACACCATTTAATTTCAGTTAGCTTTAAATGATAAAAAAAAAAAACAAGGTTACATTAAATTAGAAAATGACAATCTCTAAACCATGCCAATATTCTTCCTCTCTTCTCAGATGGGATGGCGGGCCAAATCAAAGGTTACTGTGGGCAAATTTTGACCTGTGGGCTCTAATTTAAGAGGAGTCTGGCTACAGACTTGGTGCAGATGCAATCTGAGCTGCATCCAATGCTTTTTAATGTGGTCACCTCACCCCACCCCTTACCCTTCCCTTCACAGTGTCGTCACTATCTCCATTGAGTGCATTGTCTCTGACACTGCATCTCTGAGTAATGCAACTTCAACTTGCACCACAAAAGCTGCATCCAGATGTTGCCTAGTTTGGGCATCCCTGGTAAAAACAAACAAATAAAACCACAAACTCTATTATTAAAGGAACAAGACTGAATAGAAGTGATCTACAGCTGGGGTTCGTAAACTTTTCAGCCCATGACCCCCAAAGCAATGCCAGTGAATCACGACCCCCACAAACACGAGCAGATTGACAACACAAAAAGTGCAATTATAATTATAAGATTATAATTTATGTTGTCATTAATTAATTTTTGCAGTTTAATCTTAACCTCACTTAAAGAGACTGGTGGACACAATGTTTGGAGCACAAGTCTGTTCTTGGTTTGATTTTGAAGACCGCCACTCAGAGATCAAACTTAATGTTAATTTGTGGCCTGCATTTATTTTGAATGTATCTGATAGCGATAAAGGTGTCAGGAAGTTTAACCTTGTGTTAAAAAATCAATCTGCTGCAGCTGACGCAATTGCTAAGTTGTTAATCTAATGTAAACCCACAATCCTATGAAAAAAAGAATTGAAAAGCTGATGTTTTTTTTTATTTGCATGTTGTTGCAACTATAAAGTACTATTTATATCTTCTGTGGATTATGATTAAAATATGGTAATTCTAATAATTTCATAAAATTTATTTGACTTAGAAATCTCCAAGCTACCCCCTGTCATTGTCCCACGACTCTCCAGGCCAGCATAGCAAAATTTCTTTGGCCAACACAACTAGGTTTTGCTTGGCCCACATGCCGCCCTGAATTACAGTACATGACTGGACCAAGTCTAGCTTCCAGACAAGGGCCAAACATGGACCATATCAGTGTCAAGTCTCAGTCAAGTTAATAACTTAAAACTGGGCATAAACTGGGCAAGATAGGTTGGTGTGTCACGATTGCAATCAAATTGATAAACCCATGAAGAACTGCACTCTAGGCACAATATGGGCATGACTTTTCTCAAAGCAACCTGATTGGTAGATTTTTTTCTTTATACAAATATTATTTTAATGTATTTTAAATGTGGGTCTAGACAGGCCAAACTTACATGGTCCACATATCAATTTTTAACATCTGGGCCAAATACTAAATTTGAAATCTGGCCCAAATCTTGTGTGCTACCTTAAGGACAGTGCCACCTCTGCCAAACCCAGGCCATGTGTGGCCCACGTGCTGTATGCCAGTGCCAGATCTACAGATCTAAAGGACTGGTATGTATGCAGATTGTAGATCTCTTATTTTCCATTATAGGCCATAGATTGTCTTTAGTAGACTATTTTCTCATTTGTCTACCTTTCTAATCTCAGCAGCCAAGTTGTTACATCATGTTTGCCTTTAATATGATTTTTATCTACAAAGAGATTATTGTTCAGGACAATACGGTAAAGGGAAACGTAAAATAAATAAGCTGGCATGCAGTACAAACCAATTGACAGAACATACCATACAGCGCAAAGCACAACTTACTTCTACACTTTTACTTCCTGCACACTCACACACACACACACACACACACACACACACACACACACACGCACGCACATGCGCACACACACACACACACACACATACACACACACACACACACACACACACACACACACACACACACACACACACACACACACACACACACACACACACATCATGGTTTATGTACTGTATTTTTCTTTCAACTTAGAAGTCTTAGATTGAATGGTGTATTTATATTTTAACCCAGTCTAACTACAGGACTGCTGTGGTTAGTATGCGGTTCTGGATGGTGAGGTGGCGTATGTTTCCATCTGTGATGTGTCTGCAGTTTGTGGCTGAACTCGAAGCTCTCAGGATTCCCTATTTTAGACACATGTAATTATCAGACGTTATATACACACGCGCCTAGCCTCGCCCTATTGGAGGGTACCTTTTAACTGGGATATTTCTGGAATGGTGGCAGTCCCACCCATTTCTAAGACTGCACAAGCTGAAGATCTGCTGTAAAATTCTCTGAGCTGCATTCAGACACAAAAAAAAACATAACCTGTCTTTTTCAGAGCAAAGCCATGACTGGTCAAGTGAAGCACTTTAAGTGTGATTCAAACTGTCAGTCAGACTCCAAACCAGAGCCCTCACATTCAACTTTTACAAATCGAGCTACATCTCAGGCACACACCGCTTTAGCACTCAGAAGAGACCTACAACATAGCCCTCCCTTTCAATCCCTCTGTCATTATCAGGACTCTCTTCAATCTCTCCTCCTTCACAGTAAGCTTTAATGTGGCCAGCCCATATGTGTCCTCTGTGTGATAGACTGTAATCACAAAAATACCAGTGAAGAGTACAGGCTACTGGTGGCTTTTGGCACCAAGAGTCTTTTCCTCCTCATTTCTTTCCAGCCTATTATATAGGCCACCAAGCATTGGGTGCCTCGTGTGGACTATATATGACTCCAGAAAGCACAGATTGGTGCGATAAGGCTGAGTAGTTCTCAACAGTTCCATTCTAGGAATACTGTGAACTGTAATTTAAACATGACACACCATTTGAAGAGATGGATGTGTATTGGGTCCTTACATCTTCAGACATTAAAGTGTTGTGCAGTGATATGAACTGAACTGGCATAGTACTGAATCAGTTAAAAGGGCTCAATATTTAATTTTCGAAAAGATTGTGAGTGAATTTGAATGTTTGTTTTCTACTAATTTCCATGTAATTACTCGCATATGCACAAGCAAATCCATATCCACTAAATGCGTTGTGTGTGTGTAACACTTGGTAAGCCATTAACACTTGCATCACGCTGACCAATTAAAAAGCCAATCCATCACAGCTTAATCAATACCATCTCACTCTGAGGTGCAGGGGTGTTTGTCCTAATAACTGTTTCAGGATTTGCCATTAATCTTTCTTCAACAAAACGTATGCTGAACAAAATAGGTGTGTGTGTGTGTATGTGTGTGTGTGTGTGTGTCTCCGGTTTTCCCCACAAGTCCAAAGACATGTGGTATAGGTGAATTAGGTAAGCTAAAGTTATACGTGTAGTGTATGTGTGTGAATGAATGAATGAATGAATGAATGAATGAATGAATGAATAAATAAATGAATGAATGAATGAATGAATAAATGAATAAAGGAATGAATGAATGAAGTTCTTGAGTAGCTTGTGAGCAGTCATCTGGCTTTGACTGTTTAGTATGGTTATTAACACACTTTAGACTGTAGAACACTTGTATTGTGATAACCGATTACATTTTAACTGTTCTTTCAATAACTAATAGGTAGCATGAATGCCATTTTTTTTGTAATGTTAACATGGCAGCGCATACCGAGGGGGCAGCCTGCAGATTCTGCACTTTAGGGGTGCCAGGTACTGGAGATGTACCGATTCTAAGTTTGGTTAGTTGTTTTTGACCAGGGTTGGAGCTGAACTGTCCAGGTAGTTAGGTATCAGAAACATGATTTGGCACTCCTGCTTTAGGTTTTGTCTAGCCAACGATTGTAACACATGTCATTTTTAATTATGCTGTTAGTACTGTTGTTTATTTGTGCAATTATTCAAATTATAAACACACTGCACCTTATTTGCTTTACTCTATAACATTGGCTGAATCACTAGCCTAATCTGTTTTTACGACTCATGTGCTGTACACCAGGTCGTGTGTTGCTCTCTCTCACTATCTCCACCCTCGGCAAAGCAGCTGATGCTGATGCGAGTAGCCTACACTCATTCTGACTCTTCCATCCTCAGCGGCGACTCGCTGTCACACGTTTCCCTTTACTCTTTCTTCTCATTCAACTTGAAGCAGCGCGTTCATACTGAAGTCAGCAGGGTTTTCTCATAACATATGTGCCAAGAGAAACCACTTATGTGAAGGATTCGAGACAATGACGGTGATCCCTGGAGGAGACGTTCGTGGACACTAGAACAGTGTGATCAGAGCAGGACACATCGCAGAGAGTTTTAAGAGGAACCGAGAGATGTTTATACACCACCAGTAGTGCCAAACGGGAAATGATGGGCTTTTAAAAACAGACTGTAAGGTCGAAGAGAGGTGGACGAAGACTAGCTTGTTTCGTTTAAACATGCACGTAAACCCCACCGCAACGGATGAGAGGAACCTGTATTAAAGGACCTTCAGATTACTGGACATCCCGAGAGCGACTAGGAGCGCTGCGTTGAATTTGGAAGGTCAGTTGTCAACTTGTAGCCTGTCATGTCGAAGTTAAGAATTACGGTTGATTAAAAGGAGAAAAAAATCGCGGTATTTTACCATTGTAAATTTATTGTTGTTCACTGTGTAAATATTTTCTCTTCTTTTTATTTAGTTATTTATTTTTATTTTTTCAAAATTATTTAATAAGATCCATACAATATCTAAGTTTATGCAGTTTTAGCATACTGTAAGGCTAAACTTACAGTACGTTGTACATCGAAAAAGTATTAGCCTACTTTAAGAAGACAGATATTCTTAAAGTTACTTCAAAATATTGTAGTACTGTAGTTCTGTTTTGTATTTATTTTTCAGATCTACTGCACTATAAACACAAAATAAGACTTTAATTATAAATTTTATAAATTATTATTTAAATTATAAAATTATTAATGAAACTTACATAATAAATGTATTAATCGAAAAGAAAATTGTGGGCAAATAATATGTGAGGAATTGTTATATACACAGGGGTGCAACTGCTCATTGCTGAGGTGTATGCGGCTTTAACTTTTGCTTTAACGTATAATTTAAATTTTATCATTTAAATTAGAAAATTTTTACTGAACTTACATAATAAATGTAATAATCGAAAAGAAAATTGTGGCCAAATAATATGTGAGGAAGTGTAATATACACAGGGTTGCAACTGCACATTTACAACCCCTTTAAGGATTTTTGTTCTACATTTGTCAAAACAAAATGATAGACATGGGAGTGCTAAAGGACAAAAGAACTTTGCAATTACTTCTCACATGCATACTGTGAGAGGTCTGTCTTTGCATGAACAATTGACTGAAACAGCTATTACACCTCTCACAAAGTGAAATAAAAAAGACACTAAAATTTAAAACAAACAAAGACAAACTGCCTGACATGTTCTATGTTATTAAAATGTTATGGGCAAACTTTGTTGTGTCAATTGTTGTGACACATTTTTAAACAACTCAATTCATCTTTATTTATATTGGGCTTTTTACAATGTAGGATGTGCCACAACAGCTTAACATAGATGAAGAAAATAATAAAAAGCCATAACAATATTTCAGATTGCAGAACATTGCAGTAAATCAGGCGTGCAGGAGAGTAGTGGTGGATTGTGGGTGTAGTTCTATTTAAATTAAAACTCATTCAGTTCAGTTTAGTATAAATGTCACCATTGAAGGCCAGTCTACTGAAGAGCAGCTCCACCAAAGCATAGTATCATGAACATGCTTAAAACGGTCATTAATATTTTCTGATCACTTCTTACAACGCAACATATAAATAAAGGTGTCAATATTCTGTGAAATAGTTTTATATTTAAATAACTGTATTACTTTCATTCATATTTAATAGCATGTAAAGCCAATTTAATGACTAATTCAAGTTATACCACACTCTCAGAAATAAAGGTATGCAAGCTGTCACTGAGGTGGTACCTTTTCAGAAGTTACACATTTGTACTTAAAGGGTCCATATTGGTGCCTCAAAAGTATACATTAGTACCTAAACATTTTAAGAACTCTTTTGTACTTTTTTAAGTACTAATATACCCTTAAGGTATTAATGTGGACCTTTAAGTTACAAATTTGTACCTATTGAAAAGGTACCACCCCAGTGACAGCTCGTGTAACTTTATTTCTGAGAGTGCACTGAAGTCGACGTGAAAATTCCGGCCTGATCTCACGAGGAAACGTAAGTATTTTATGCAAAATTCAGGGGTGTTAATTTATGAGACAATTATAATGCCCACTGACAAGCATGTTTATGATGCCAAGTTGTGTTGTCTGTTGTATTGATAAAGTCAATTTGTCATAACAGTGACAGTGACAAATTTTGTTGCCTTCGTAATGGCAAGTTTTCACGAAAAAGACAGATTATAATATCTTGTTTATTTCAAGTTTTCACAAAGACATTTCAAACAATGTCACCTCTGCGTTTAAAATGATATAACTGAGAGAATGACACTTAATTACAGTTGTCAAAAGCATGCATAAAATCTCATGCATGTTCATGACTTGTCATGTCATGATTATTTAAAGTGTTGGTCATCCTTTATGCACTATTGTCTAAGACATTAACTCAACTGTTACCAATGCTAACATTGCAGACAAAACCTTAATAATGTTAGGGAATGTATTATAAATTATAATTCCAAGGTATTTATCATCGCAAGGAATTTATAATAAAATGCTAGTTTCTGAAAACACTGATGTAGGCAATATTTATAAGACAGATATTTCACTCAACTCCTTAAACGCAAGCCTATTCTTTACTACTTCATTCACACGAACAGTTTCTGTATATTTTATAGCTTTAAACATAACAAAGACTTTAGAATAAAGTAATTAAAGCGCCCATGGTGACTCATTCATTAAGGTTAGCCTCGGAACTTGTATGGGGCGCGTCGTAAAGCGCACGTAATAAGCGAAATGACCATCTCCTTTTGTCAGGGCTATTAAGGTGACTAAGTTGTTTATTTGCTTTACAGTGGGGTCAACTGAATAATAGCACATTGCTAAGTCTCCGCATCGTTGTCTGGCTGGAAACCATTGCTTGGACCTGACATGAGCGTCTAACACCATCGGCAAACAACAACACACACCGGCGGATAAACCGCACTGATCCCTGCGAGCGACCACCTGTTTTCAGCGCTGACCAACCGGTAAGCGCTTCACTTCCTGAGGCACAATGCAACAGATTTCTCTCTATACCTATCTGAAATGATTATTAGACGTCTCTTCGTTTAAATTCTGCAGTTTAGGCGAACATTATGCGTAACGCGTATCATACATTCGTTCACGTGCTTATGCAATCACTTTTTAAAGAAGGGGTTACGAGGTGTTTTGTATGTTCAAATCCACTTTCATCTCCATGTGGGTGGTCACTCTTTTCTTTTCATCCTTTCATCCAGAATCTATCTACGTCACCCAATTTCCCAATCCCATGTCTCTCGCTCAGATTATTCTCTTGTAATCCAACAAACAAATGAAGTCATATCTGAACCTGAGTTACGCAACTGGTGACACCGGTGAAGTAGTTGTGAGTGTATTTAGTGAAGAGAAAAATCTCTCTGACATGACATTATTAAGGATTGAAAACAGTGGGATTCTGATGTTTGGAATTAAGCATATGAAGTAATTTATTTAATTGTTATTGACCTTTGGTTTTCCCTTTGTTGTGATTCACATTATCATTCTTAAAAAAGGTTTCACAAATACATTATTTGTCATAGAAAATGGTCCAGTTATGCTAGATTATTTGTCCTTTACCAGTTTACGGCCAGCAATTTAAAAACAATGCAAAAAATGGTTTGACCAACACACTCAAATAGGCAGAGAGAAACATATTGTTTTAATGAGCAATGTTGCCAAATGACCCTTGTTTGGTTTAGTCAGAAATACTAAACCTATTGGTGATCAATGATGGAAAGCACAAAAGAAGCACAAAAGGCAGCAGACCAGTGAAAATGTACACTTGTATATGCTTTTAAAGTTTCTAAGTAAAAAAATGGGGCACTGATAAAACATATATATTCCTTCAAATTCAGTATTTTTTAATTCTGTTTGCTTCAGTATCTGCTAAGTTAAGTCTGACCACCGAGTGCATTACCATATCCATCTTCAAAGGTTTGCTAAAATCCAGATGCCAAATGCAAACAACACAGTGTTAATAATACGGGGAGAACATGCAAACTCCACACAGAAAATGCCAACTGACCCAGTCGAGGCTCGAACCAGTGACCTTCTTGCTGCGAAGCGAACATGCTACCCACTGCATCACTTTGCAGCCATTAAAACAAGTTATAAAACTTTTCTTTATAAATTTTATGAAGGACAGAACATCACATAAGGTGAATAAGGTGGTAAGCATTGTCGCCTCACAGCAGGTTGCTAGTTCGAGTCCCTGCTGGGCCAGTTGGCATTTTTGTGTGCAGTTTGCATGTTATTATTATATGTTGGTGTGCGTTCCCTCCAGGTGATCCGGTTTCCCGCTCAGTCTAAACATTTGGTATAGGTGCATTGAATAAATTAAATTCAAAAACCAAAAAAAAAAAAACCCTATACTTCTAATTTTTTCACGCTATGGTAAAAAATAAATACTATTCTTGTGTGTGTGTGTGTGTGTGTGTGTGTGTGTGTGTGTGTGTGTGTGTGTGCGTGCGTGTGTGTGTGTGTGTGTGTGTGTGTGCAAGATTTAGAAGTGGACAGTGAGTAAACAATGATAGAACCTAAATTTTTGGCCGAACTCACTTTTGAGATGTTGATTATACTTATAAACATTTTATATGTTTATTGCTTAATGTATATAAATTCAAACATTTAAGTAGTTTAAAAAGTATATTGAGAACTGTTCCACATCATGTTGTAAGAAGACCATTTTATACAATTGAACCTATAGTATTTTGTTAGAAAGTAGTTTTCCTTAAGCTCCATCAAGTGATGCATTTCCTTGTTCCCTTATCTCAAGAACTACTTCGAGTAAACTGGAGATGTTTGGAAATTTAATAAGTAGCAAAAAGGACTCTGTTTATCTCCAAATAGGTTTTAGGTACCTGAAGCCTGAGCAGCAGTGGAGCAGATCCATTCCACTAAGACTAAATACATTAGGACTGCCATGTTCCTATTCATTACCAGGCCAATTGAAATCTACAGAAATCCAGAGCAGGTGATTGGTTGCTCTTTGGATAATCAGTCATTGAGCATGCTACTCAATATTTAAATAACAGTTTATTGTATGTCATTAACAAATCCACTTTCCTCTGCTCCACCTGTATACATCTGCCACAATGTGAGGGTCTTACACAATGTGAGGGTATGCCAAACTTAAGGGTCTTATATCATGTTCTCAATCGCATACCTGTGAATCTACTGTCAATAGCGTCTTTGTACTTGCTCTTCTGCAGCAATGATCAACAGCAGTAGCAGCGATCAATCAAGCCATACTCCCAGGTAAATAATAGTATGAACTTAATTGAAATAAGTGCTTCCTTTACATGACTTAGATTACATGTCAGAATTATTAGCCCCCCTTTATTTTTTTGTTTCTTTTTAAAATATTTCCCAAAATATGTTTAACAGAGCAAGGATATTTTCACAGTATGTCTGATAATATTTTTTCTTTTGGAGGAAGTCTTATTTGTTTTATTTCGGCTAGAAAAAAAAAATCATTTTAAGGACATTATTAGCCTCTTTAAGCTGTATTTTTTTTTGATAGTCTACAGAACAAACCATCGTTATACAAAAACTTGCCTAGTTACCGTATTCTGCCTAGTTCAACTAATTTACCTTGTTAAACATTTAAATGTCACTTTAAGCTGTATAGAAGTGTCTTGAAAAATATCTAGTAAAATAATATTTACTTTCATCATGGCAAAGATAAAATAAATCAGCTATTAGAAAGAATTATTAAAATTATTATGTTTAGAAATGTGTTGAAAAAAAATCTTGTTCATATATATATATATATATATATATATATATATATATATATATATATATATATATATATATATATATATATATATATATATATATATATATAAACTTTATTTTTTACATGAAAAAAAACTTAAAATGAGAAGTGATAGACTATTTTATTTGTGGCTAACTGCGTATTTTGTGTACATTTGTTTAGAAAGCGCTTACCAAAGCAAATTGAATGCACATTTGTGTTTTTATATATGGACTGCATGCTTTAGGTTTAAAACATTTAAGTTCTGAGTACAAATAATCTGTAATAACAGAAAGATTAAGTTTAAGTTTGTGCAGTGCAAGATTTCTGTCATACCCAATACAATAAATGGTATTCAAATCAAATATTTTTTAATCAAAGTATTGCCTTACTTTCTTTCTGAAAATCAACAGTTGAATTTTTATTTTATTTTTTTGTAAAAAAAATTCATGGTACAATGTAGTGAACAAAACTTCTTAATAGCTAAAAAAACTATCTAATCTTCAACAATAACACTGTCTCTAAGGGCTGGGACATACCAAGTCGTTGCCAACCAACTAACACCAATGTTGGATCATGTCTGGACCAAAAAGCTGCATGTGGACACATCAAGCAAACAAAAGCCAACTATAGCTGCCCTGCGAAGGGTAGTGTCTGTTTTCTCGTTCCACAATGGGAAACCGAACTTTCAACGCCTACAGATAAAACGTAAACAAAGCAGCATTTAGTACCATTATCACAGTAATTTTCACTCACCATAGAGGGACGCAGTCAAGTGATGCGATTTTGCAGGTCAAACTGCAAAGGGGAAACTTGTAGCACGAGCTTGCGTTTCTGGTCTAAAGCATTTGTGTGTGTATGAATAGAAGTCTATGGGGGGAAAAGTCCAGTGTGACTGCAGCTTTAACCTGAAGAGAGGTGATTTGTGAAACAAATCAAACCAACTAGCCTGACCTACGAAACTCATTGGCAGACTGTGGGATTGGTGTATCCTGGCCCTAAAAGGAAGCAACCAGGTTCATCACTCTTTGGTGTACCTGACATTTTTTCGTTGTACAGCACATTTCTGTATTTACATGCGTTGTGATACTTTATGTGCCACAGGGTTTCCAAAACATTTATGATGAGAAGTTGTTTTGTCAGGAATTTTTTTATTTGCAGCTTGCAGCACATTTGATCCATCTTAGATTTTAGAGTAAAGAGAATGTTTATAATAAAATAACTAAAATATATTTTAGTTATTAAAAAGTTTAATTTTACATTTCCTTTTGTTAACATTATTTTTAGGGTAGCACTTGATGTACTTGGTCAGTTTCTTTAAAACGCAATGAAGCATTAACCTGTTAGCTTCAATCAGTTGACATTTAATACCATCATAAGTACACCAGCCAAAATAACAAATCACTTGGACAAATCACTTTAAAAAAATTCAATCTGCAAAAAAAGTACAATATCATTTGCACAAATTTGTTGCTATAGTTAATTTATTATTTTTGAATGAAGGATAAAAGTTTCTCTGAGCAAGCTTTTTCTGGCCCACATTTTTTATTAATATGTAGCATAAGTGTGCCAGGAAATATGTCTTATTTGACCCGAGGGACTGGTGGAGTGAGGGAAGAGGTAATTAATATAGATGGGTTGTGGAAATTGAGATTGACTAAGTGAGGCTAACCTTATCAAATAACTTTTCTAGACCAGGGCTGTCATTAGTCAAACAAAAGGTTTGTATTCATTAAATAGGTGGCCAACAGGTTATGTGTGTCTGTTGACTACCATGAATGTTTTGTTTGCAATAGAAACAGGAAACACTTATGGTTTATGGTTGTAAGAAAATCATATTATGATCAGTGTTCTTTTGTTATGTTTTTCTTACTTGTCGAGTGCTACTATCATATCCTAAAAGCCTTTAAATGGGGTATCGAATAAAGGTAAACTAATTAACAAGATAAAGTCATGAACAGAAATGATATGCACTTATAATTCATAAAAGTAACAATATATTATCTATACTATTGTAATGAGTAAGGGTACAAAGGAGTTGAGGACCCAAATACAGTTTATTAAGAGAAGCTTCTGGCAGGCAAATGGTCAAAACAGGGGCAGACAGAAGTAAAAAGATAATCCAAAAGCATAGTCAGAGCACAGGTGAATGGTAGGGACAGGTGGCAAAACAACAGTGGCAAAGCATAGGTCAAAAAATGACAAGGAAAA